TTTTTTTTTTTTTATAATTTGTACATTTATAGGAAGATTTCAGATTATTATTTTAGGCTATCATATCTGATTGATACTGTTATCAGATTTTTTTTCCTTTAAGTTTTAGACAGTTTCCTTGCAATGCATGGCAATATTTAGTAACTTTTCTATAGAGACTATTGATGGGATCTCTCAGAGAGAAAGTTATTTAAGAGAGATGTAGATAATGCAAGGAAAAAGAATTTTTAAGAAGTGTCTGGGGTGTTTTATTTATAGTCTTGTACAGTCATGGGTAAGGGTTGGAAAATATCTCATAGTTCTGACTATATTTCTCTGAATCTATGAGTCCTTTTGTTAAGTTAAAGCTACATGTGTATTTAAGGACTCTCTTGTTATTGAAAACTCAAGTTAGAACTATATTTGATTTCTGGGAATCTTTGATCTTTCATGTCTTCATTCATTAACTCTTTACTTACCTAAGAATTATTATGACTCCATACAATGATTAAGTTATTCTGAAAAGATTATATAAGAAAAATATTTTGAAAAGAAAATTTGAAACTTTTGTTGTCAAACTTTAACCCATAATAAAATTAAAATCCATTTTTAAAACTTATCTATCCTCTTATAAATGTTGTAACTGTTAATAAATATGCTTATTGTGCCTTTGGGTAGTCATGACTGGATGTCTGATAAAGAGCACTTGTAGTGGAATACAAAAGTCATTATTCCATCTCAACACTCTCATAGGGAAGAAACAACAAATTTCAGAATTGCCCATTTGTACCTGTTTACTATTTTGTTCTTTTGTCATTTATTTTTAATAATTTTTCCCCTGATTATATAAAATGTATTTCTATTTTAGAAATTGTGGAAATTTTAGGTAAGTCCGGAGAATAGTACAATAAATACCAGTAATATATTGGCACAATTTCTTCGCTGGTACCTTTATTTATTTTTTGAGCAGTTTTATTGAGAAATAATTTACATACTACATTCATTTGTTTAAAGTGAACAGTTCAATGTTTTTAGCATATTTAAAGAATTCTGCAGTAACTACCATAATATAATTTTAGAACACTTTTATCAACCCCAAAAGAAATTTCATACCCATTGCCAGTCACTTTCTATATCCTTTTCCCTCCATAAAAAAACACAATGCTGTCCAGTTGATTTTGACTCATAGTGATCCTATAGCATTACTATGCCCCATAATGATTTCCTCAGCTATAATCTTTATGGAACTAGATTGCCATATCTTTTTCCCATGGAGCTGCTGGTGGATTTAAACCCCTGATCTTTCAGTTAGTGTCCAAGTACTTAACCACTGTGCCACCAGGGCTCCTTCATCCCTCCAGAGGCAACCATTAACCTACTTTCTGTCTCTATTGATTTTTGTGTTTGTGAGTTTTTGTTTTAGAAACACATATATCTTTAATGAATTGCTACAAACTGATTTTAGTAGTTAAAATTATAAATATAATATGTGTGTGTGTGTGTGTATATATATATATATATATATATATATATATATATATAAAAAATAAAAAATAGCCTAAAATAATAAATTGTTGAAATCTAACTCTTTAAAAGATCTGAACACCTTACTTTGAAACTACTATAGCTTGGACCTGGCCTGATGCTTTGAACATTGAAAATTCGGACTCTGAATCACGGACTTCTCACACTGTAAAAAAATTTACTGCATCATTTGAAGCATCACCATCAGGGGAAAGTGAACTCAAAACTCCATCAATTTCTTTGAATAAAACTATTGGGAGATATTCTGATGATCGTGAAATGCAAAATGAAATTTATCATAGGAAAATCATCTCTTGGTTTGGTGATTCCCCCTCGGCCCTCTTTGGCTTACATCAGCTAATAGAATATGGAAAGAAGTCGGGGAAAAAAGCTGGAGATTGGTATGGACCAGCTGTGGTTGCTCACATATTAAGGTAAAATTGTTTTAAAATCTTTCATTTTATGACGAGGTTCTCAGGCTCAGAGTATACTGAGTTTTGCAATGTGTATATATAATTGGAACTTGTACAATCTATCTGTATGAAAATACTTGTAAAGGAACATTTCATTTGTTAAAAGGGAAACAAGTTTGAGTCTTGACATGATGTGACTCTAGTTACATTTAGTTTATTTGTTGTTGTTTCTCTTGCTTATACATACAGGTATCCAAGATCTCTTTCCAGCCTAGGTTTTCATTTTGTTGTTGTTGTTGTTGTTATGTGCCGTCGCGTCGGACCCAACTCATAGCGACCCCTCCTTGGGTTCCAAGGCAGTATCACTACGGAAGTAGATTGCCCCATCTTCCTTCCGAGGAGTGGCTGGTGGGTTTGAACCGCCAGCCTTCTGGTTAGCAGTCGAGTGCCTTAGCCACTATGCTACCAGAGCTCCTAGGTTTTCATTAGACTACCTTATTTGGGATGTTCTAAAAACTAACAACTCTTTCAGCCTTAGAACATGCATAACATTCTAGTTTCCTTTCTTTAAATAGTGTAATCTGGGGTCTGTAATATACTGATGTTGTTGTTATGTGCTGTCGAGTCGGACCCGACTCATAGCGACCCCTCCTTGGGTTTCCGAGGCAGTATCACTACGGAAGTAGATTGCCCAACCTTCCTTCCGTGGAGTGGCTGGTAGATTTGAACCGCCAGCCTTCTAGTTAGCAGTCAAGTACATTAGGCACTACTCTACCAGAGCTTCCAATATACTGATAGTGTAATGAAATGTCAAGAGCTAAAATTGATATTTTCATCATTTCTTTGCTCACATTAAATTCTTGAGAATTGTAAATGTATGGGCCTATTAATATTATAATTATGTCATAGTAAAATTAAAAAGTCTGTGACATTCAGGGTAGTTAAAAAAAAGTCAAAACTCAAATTTCACTGTACTTCAGATTTTTACGTGCTATTTATTGGATACTGCTTAAGTTTTTTTTTTTCTTTTTTTTAAATTGTCTTTTTTTAAAATTGTGTATTACATATTCTGGTATTATCATAAATGGAATTATTAATATGTCATCTAAGTACAGTATGTTATGGTAAATTTACTCCATCTAGAATTATAAAAATTTCAAATGATTATAAAGCATTTTTGGATATTAGCAGGCTTTAATATTTTTTAGGCCAAATGCTTACAGTTAAAAAGTATTTTTCCAATGTTTTGAATTTGATTGGTTGTTGATAATAATATCATGTCCAACTTGATACGACATTTATAAAGACATAACCTAAAGCATAGTTTCTACCCTTTAAGGTATTTAAAGGTATTTATACCCCAGAGATCAGGGAACTTTTTCTGTAAAGGTCCAAATAGTATAAATAGTAAACATGTTAGGCTTTTGTGGGTCTTACAAGGTTTCTGTTCCACATTCTTCTTTGTTTTTACAACCTTTTAAAACTATAAAAAAACATCATTCTTCTCTTGTAGGCTGTACAAAAAATAGGGCATGGGCTGAATTTGGCCTGTGGGCCAAACTTTGCCGATCCTTATTCTATACTAATGCATAGAAACATAATAAGATAGGTTAAAGAACTTAAAAAATACAGTTAATAAAAATGTTCATATTTTTTGTAATCGGCATACTTTCCTTTTGTAGATACTGTTACTGTGATTTTTTTTCACATGATGTGAACCGTTGAGAACATTATACTCAATTAGAAATATTTTTCAATTTGAAGTTTTACTTATAAAATTCTATGACTTAACCTTAGGAAATGCATTTCTCAGGTCATAGATATTTTTTAAAGAAGGAATAAAAGTTGCACTGTTGTTTAAAGAAAAGAAACAAACTTTCAGAAGTATACTAGAGGGCAAAAGCATACAGTCATTTGCTCTTAGACACTAATGTAAGTGAATATAAAGCAAATTTTGAGGTATATTGTGACATTACTGGTTGGAAAACACTTAATATAGCCAAATGAGTGATTGAGAGAAATCTTTTTTTTCTGTTATAGCTTTGTGCTCAACAATTTCTTACTTATTTTATAACTTATATTTTAATGTTCCTTGAATAATTTTGTATAATATTCAACTTTGAAAATTTGACTTAATTTCTGATACCACTCGTGATAGTTTTTGAAACCAGATATTACAGATTAAGTAGGAAATTCAGGAAAATGATGGCTTTTTTCCCCTCTTTAAATTAAGTCTTTAGGTATCAGCTGGAAATGCTACTTAAGATTTTAAAAGATTATACTTGTTATTTTCTTAGAAAAGCAGTTGAAGAAGCAAGACACCCTGATTTACAAGGAATAACTATTTATGTTGCTCAAGATTGTACAGGTAAGGAATGTATATAGTTCTAATTTTTACCTGTTTTATTAGAGCTTATCTTCCCAATTACACTGTAAATGATTATGAAGATAGAGACCATGCTGTATGCATTTTTATTCCTACATAGCACCCTACTTTTATTAACCCACTACCATTGAGTTGATTTCTAACTCATAATGACCCTATAGGACAGTGGGACAGCCTCATAGAGTTTCCAAGGCTGTAAATATTTATGGAAGCAGACTGCATTATTTTTCTCCTGCAGAGTGGCTAGTGGGTTTGAACTTCTGACCTGTTGTTCATCCACTACGTGCTTTAACCACTGTGCCACCAGAACTTTCTACCTGTGTTAGGCCCTTACTAAATATTTTTTGATTGAGTATATACTATGAATTATTACTTGTGATATTGAAATAATCTAAGATGTAAACATTTTAAAAGTACAGATGAGAAAATTTAACATAGGTATGTATTTGGGCTCCATGCATGCTAGATATTATCTTAGTGACGGATGTGTTTCAAAGGAGGAAAATCTTAACATAAGAGAAACTGAATATATTTTATGATGTACTGGATGTACATCTGATGTACTGGATATATATCTGATGTACTGGATGTACATCTGATGATATACATCTTATGTACTGGTTATATTAGGTAGCAGTTATCCTTCTGGTTTTTGCTTTTTTGTTGTTGTTGTATTGGGTCTTGACTGCTAGCTATAGTAATTAGTAATTTTGAAATTTTGTTGGGTATAAAACTGAGACACCAATTTCCTAATAAAATAAGATCATCTTCAAAGTAAGTTACCTCATGCTGTTAAATTTATTTTTGACAGAATTATTATGAGCAGTAAAAAAATACGGTAATGTTTTAGAAAAAGTTAAATGTTCCTCAATTTTGTTTATTATAAGGGTATCTACAACATGCTAAGGTTACTCGGATAATTAACTAGTGTTTGTAGTGTGGAAAGAATGGTTATCAAGTTCACAATGCACTGTTGTTTTACCTTTTGTTAAGGTTAATTTCTTCCTAAAGACTGAAATTGTGACTATAGCCATATGAAAGAGAAAGTTCTAAATTTTCAGATGAGTATATGAATTTTGCAGGTATTTGTTTTTGAGGTAGGATGGCTTGCAAATAAAATTTACTGTGTTAAGAGTTCTAATTAAGCCTAAGGATAGGCTTAAGCAATTAAATACACTTACGAATTTGCCTTCTGTGCTGTTATTAGTATCAATCACCCTGAGTCTTCAGTTATTACATGGTATTACTTAATTGAACAACACACAGCATAAAGTTCCTTATTATTTATATTATTCCCATAATTTGAAATGTTCTTAAAATTTTTACTATTATGTCCAAGAATCCAGAGAGTTTATACTGAGAGTATATTTTGATAGATTTTGAGATTAGATGGAGTCTATGATCTTTTTTTTTTTTTTTTTTCTTCTGCCTACATTAGTGTGTTTAAAGACTGAAGTTTCCATTCATTTTCCTCTCATTCTGGATCCTTTTTCTTGGTGGTGGTGGTTGTTAAGTGCTGTCGAGTCAGGTCCAACTCATAGTGACCCCATGTACAATAGAAGGAAACACTGCCCAGTCCTGCACCATCCTCACAGTCCTTGCTGTGCTTGAGCCTGTTGTTGCAGCCGCTCTGTCAGTCCATCCTGTTGAGAGTCTTCCCCTTTTTCACTGACCCTCTACTTTACCTCGCATGATATCCTTCTCCAGGGACTGGTCCCTTCTGTAACATGACTGTTATGGTTACCTGGTGCTGCTCTCACAGGAATATATACCACAAATGGGATGGCCTTAACAAACAGGAGTTTAGTCTTACAATTTGGAGGCTTTAAGTCCACGTTCAAAGTGCCAGGCTCTAGGGGCTGGGTGGAAGCCCTTCAACCTTGGGGTCCAGCTCTGCCTCCTGCTCCCGGCCCACTAGAGCTAGAGGTGTTTCTTCACTCAGACAGCTTCTAGCTGCTGAGGCTTAGAATACCAAGATTGGCACATAAAAAGGCACAGTCCCAATGTTACTAAACCACACAGCAGGCCATTAACTTAAGTCCATTGTGAGTCCCAAGGTTGGCAGAGCATGGTAGGCTGCTGAGCAACAACATGGCTATATGTAGGGTCCAAGTGTGCTGTAGGCTAGAGACCATTCTCAAAGCTTCTCCTTATATATAGGAAGCAGACCACATCCCAAAGGCAGCTACTCAGCTGCTTGTGGTAGATCCCACCATGGAGTTGACTGCCAGTCTAATCATGGGGAATAACTACCACCAGCTGTTCAGCCACTCAACCAGGCCCAGCCAAGTTGACACACAAACATAACCACCACAGTTTCCAAAGTGGTGGGATGAAGTCTGGTTATTCTCACTTCTAAGGAACATTCCAGCTGTACTTCTTCCAGGACAGATCTGTTTGTTCTGGCAGTCCATGGTATTTTCAGTATTTTTCGCCAGTACCACAACTCATAGGCACCAACTCTTTGGTCTTCCTTATTCATTGTCCAGCTTTCACATGCATGTGAGGCAACTGAAAATACCATGGCTTGGGTCAGGCACACCTTAGTTTTTGAAGTTACATCTTTGCTCCTCAACGCTTTAAAGAAATCTTTGCAGCACATTTTCCCATTGCAGTATGACATCTGATTTCTTGACTATTGCTTCCATGAGTGTTGATTTTGGATCCAAGTCAAATGAAATCCCTGACAACGTCAATCTTTTCTCCATTTATTGTGATGTTGCAGTCCAGTTGTAAGGATTTTTGTTTTCTTTATATTGAGGTGTAATCTATACTGAAGACTGTAGTCATTGATCTTCATCAGTAAATACTTTAAGTCTTCTTCACTTTTAGCATGCAAAGTTGTGTTGTCTGCATATCACAAGTTGTTAATGATTCTTCTTCCAATCCTGATGTCCTGTTTTTCTTTTAGTCCAGCTTCTTGATTACTTGCTCAGCATACAGATTGAATAAGTATGGTGAAAGAATACAACCCTGATGCACACTCTTCCTCATTTTAAACCATGCAGTATCCTTTTGTTCTGTTTGATGTACAGGTTCCTCATGAACACAATTAAGTTTCCTGGAACTCCATTCTTCACATTATTATCTATAATTTGTTATGGTCCACAAAGTCGAATACCTTTGCATGGTCAGTAAAACACAGGAGACGTCTTTCTGATATTCTTTACTTTTATCCAAGAACCATCTGATATCAGCAATGCTATCCCTTTTCTATGTCCTCTTCTGAATGCAGCTTGCATTTCTGGAAGTTCCCAGTCAATATACTGCTGCAATCTTTTTTTTTTAAAATACATTTTATTGAAATATAATTTATGTACAGTGAAATACAACAAAAGTAAAGTAACATGAATTGATACTTTTTTTTTTTAGTGTTCCCCCTCTTCCCCTCTCACCTCTGGTAACCAGCTAATAAAGTTTCCTTACATATATCCATATATAAAACCTTTCCTTGACTTTTTATAATAATGGACTAATACTATAGTTGTCCTTCTGTGATTGACTTATTTCACTCAGCATAATGTCCTCCAAGTTCATCCATGTGATGTGTTGTTTTGCAGATTCTATGTTATTCTTTAGTGTTGCATAGTATTCCATTGTATATATGTACCATAGTTTGGTTATCCATTCTTCTGCTGATGGACACATAGGTTGTTTCCATCTTTTTGGTATTATAAATAATGTTGTGATGAAAGTGGGTGTACATATATCTGTTCTTGTCCTGGCTCTCACTTCTTTAGAATATATACCTAGTAATGTGATGGCTGGATCAAATGCTGTCTAATTCCAGCTTTTTAAGGAATTACCATACTGTTTTCCACAGTGGTTGTATCATTTTACAGTACCACCAGCAGTGTATGAGAGTCCCAATCTCTCCGCATCTTTGCCAGCATTTGTTATTTTCTGTCTTGTTGAACTTTGCCATTAGTGCTGGTGCCAGATGGTATCTCTCTTTTTTTTTTTTTTTAA